ACTAACAGATTTATTTGGGCATAAGCTTTCGTGAGTAAAAACCTCACTTCTTCGGATGCATAGAGTGAAAGTCAACATGCTGATAGCCTACGCTCCTCCATTGCAGACAGCAAGCTCAGGCCTAGGTGCAAGCAGCAACTGCGGATCGTGGACCCAACCTCTGAGGTGCATTCATCTGAGAGCCTCAACATCCGGGTCATCTGGAGACGTGTCTCCATCTTTGGTAGCCGGCGTGATTCCACAAGGAGCACCAAGAGCACGACGTCTGCCACCACGCTGCCTGGGGCCAGCGATTCTGGCCTGGAGAGCAGTCCCAAGGAGGCCAAGGCCACTGGGGAAAATCCTCCATCCTAGACGGCTGCCCTGCTGCTAACAGAGAGGGGGAATAAACATAACTTTCACAGCTGCTTCTGTGCTGGGCTTACTGCCCCCAGGCAGGGGGTGGAGACGGGCCCCAGTGTCCCTGGGCAGGGCATTGCATGGGATGGGTGGCAGTGCCCCATGGCAGGGTGTGGGCTCCCTGGACACCTGCGGAGCGTGTGTGTGGGGGGGAAAGCAGTTCTGCACGGGCAGTTTCGGAGGTCCCCGGGCTGTGGGGGGCTGGGTATAGGGGGGTCGGAGGGGTCCCGTGTCGTGTGTGGCCCCACCCAGGAGGTGGCAGGCGGGCAGAAGGGGCCGCGCGCTAAACCTGCAGCTAGGGGCTGGTCCCCTGGGGCGACCCGCGCGAACTCCCCGCCCCACCGGACTTACTAGGGGTCAGAACCTGTTGATGACAATCGCGGCCCCTTTAAGAAGCCGCTCCTCGGGGAGGGGGCGTGGCACGTCTCGGCGTGGCGCGCTGACGCGTTACGTGAGGCGTACGTGGCAGTGACGTTGTACCCGGCCGGTGGGGTCTAGGTTGTAACAACCAGAGGTAGATCTGCGTCTCGGTGAGTCGGGGGGCGGGACCGGGGCCCCCAAGTCCCCTTGCCCCGGGCAGGGTTGGGCCCAGATGGGGCAGCCCCCGCCCCTGCGCGTCCCTTCCAGGGGCCCCCGGGGTCCCCCTCCCCCGCTCTGTGCTCCCCAAGGAGCCCCCGGGGTTCCCCTCTCAGTGCTCCCCAAAGGTTCCTCTGCCCCGGCTGATCCTTACCGCGTGACTTCTCCCTGCTCCTCCCACCCCCCGGAGTTCCCCGCTCGGAGCCCCCGCCCAGGCACCCTGCTCTGGGGCCCAGTGGGTGCGGGCGGGGGGCTGGGAGCCAGGACTCCTGGGTCCTCTCTCTGGCTCTGCCACCTAGCCGTTATTTGCTGTTTTGTGGAAGTCGCTTCCCCCCGCCGCCGCCGCTCTGCGCTTCCCTTCCCTTCCCTTCTCTGTTTAATGGGGTTAGCGACACTGAGTGGTATGCAGAAGGGGCTGTGGGGCAGCTCTCACCAAGTGGGCTGAAGCACCGGGGTGCACAGGGGTAGTTAATAGGCAGACTGTGGGCCAAATCTGGACCACCAGACACTTTAGAACAGACCCCGAAATCTTTTTATTTACCTGTTGTTTTTATTGCGGTGTGAAAAATGTGTCTCTGGAATCTGGACTTGACTATAGTTTGACCAAGAAATTTGGACCTCGACAGAAAATAATTGACTACCCCAACATATGGACAGGGACCCAAGTGCCTTCAGTATTTATTTACTCTGGGTTCTGTTGGGGAGCCCGGCCCCCAGTCCTGCCCCCTTCCTGCCTCTGCTTGTATGGAACTCTAATCCTAATGGCCTGATCCTGACACTGGCTTCTGTTGCCACCATCCCTGCCTGTCTCTGTCACCCAGTGTCATATTGTTTGACTGGGGCTGCTCACATGGGGACTGGCCCTCACTGAAACTTGGGGCAGGATAGCATTGATACGTCTGGGGGGCTTCTGCTGGGGAAGCCTTTTACATCCCCCTCTGAGCTCATAGGAGCCTGGACCCCTGTCTGGATCTTGTGTCAGGGGCTGCTCCTGGATGGGCAGGCAGGGGTGCCTTGGAGTTGCCTGACTGCCTTGCTGCAGTGAGAGATGAATGGACCAGAGGAGATGATGTGACAGTGAGTGTGCTGAGGAGTGAGGATGGGACAAAGGGTTAATGGGGACAGGTGAGGGGGTGTTGGTTCTCTGCCATTAACCAAGCCCCTCAGCCCATGGCTGCCCCTCTCCCTAGCGCCAGGTTATGAGCCTCAATGAATACGAGAAAACGCCACGGCTCTAAGAACACGGATCAGGGCGTTTATCTGGGACCTTCGCAGATACAGGAGCTGCCCCCGCCTGCTGCCACCACTGTCGCCTCCTCCCTGTCATTCCCAGACACCATGTCGTGTCGCGATCGCACCCAGGAGTTCCTCTCCGCCTGCAAGTCCTTGCAGAGCAGACAGGTGAGACCTCGTTTCCTGTGGGGCATCAGGCCCACTCCTTGCTAGTATGGGAGACGCTCAGCCCCAGAACACCTGAGTTCAGTCTCTCTTTCTCCTTTCAGAATGGGCTGCAGCTGAACAAACCCGCTCTGAACGCCATGCGCCAGAGGAGCGAATTCACCGTCATAGCCAAGTGAGTGGGGCTGGAGCGACCTGGTCTTGGACTAGGGCTGGGTCAGCCAAGGCTTGGGGAGGGGGCTGAGCAGCTGGTTAACCGGGAGTATGTGGTGCTGGCTCAGGATCAATGAGCAAGGAAGGAATCTTGTGGGATGGTGAGACAGGCTGCCTGGCCTAGAATGGGGGTGAGAGGGGGTTGTCCTGGAGGTCAGGGCTGGGGTAAGGAGGGAGTGCCCTGCTGGTGTGTTTAGTGAGCAGGCCCCAACTAGGGGAGCACAGACCCTACCCCACCCTGAACTCTGGTCTCCTGTTCTGCCTCCATCCAGGCGCATCGGGAAAGATCTCAGCAACACCTTTGCCAAGCTGGAGAAGCTGACCATCTGTGAGTGGGGGGAGAGGGAGAGTAGGAGGGGGCTGCCTGGGGGTGTGGGCTCACACATGGAAGGGCTGCTGATGGCACTGGGGGTTAACATGGCTTCTCGCCTCTTTATAGCCACTGTGAACAGGAGACACAGACTTGTCTCACTCAGCTGGAATGGGCTATGGGGCCGCTGAGGAGCAGCGAGGGAGGGTAATTGGTGCTGCACCTGCATGTGTGAGGGGCTGTTAGCTCTGATCCTGGGGGCCATGATAAAGCAGGGCACTTGTGGTGGAGGGAATAAGCCGAGACTCCTATGAGCTGGCCTTGGGGCTGTCCCCCGCCCCACTGCCTGCCAGGTGAGTTGGCCTCACATAGGACACCCCTTGAACCGCCTCTCTGTCCCCAGTGGCCAAGCGGAAGTCCCTGTTTGACGACAAGGCGGTGGAGATAGAGGAGCTGACGTACATCATCAAACAGGTTAGAAGGATCTAGGCTTGCATCTCCTGGTGGCTGAGACAGAGATGGCCTCTTTATTTGGGAGGTGGGGTGGGCAGGAACGAAAGGCCCTGTGAACAGCAGCCCCAGCTGGGTGGGAGCCAAAGGGCAGCTGGGATCGGGTTGGGGTGTGGGCCTCAACTGAGAGTGGACCAATTTCCCTCCCCCAGGACATCAACAGCCTGAACAAGCAGATTGCCCAGCTGCAGGACTTCGTGCGGGCCAAGGGCAGCCAGAGCGGGCGGCACGTGCAGACCCACTCCAACACCATTGTGGTGTCGCTGCAGGTGACGGGGAGTAGATCTGCTAGAGACAGGCATGGGAATGGGCGGCGTTCGCAGCTGATGAGGGAAATGGGGTGGCTCTGAGCCGGTGGAGGGGGAATGGATTGTGGAGGGGGCTGTGGTTTTGAGCTGGGGTGGGTATAGTTGAGTCAGGGCCCTGCTCCCAGTTGCCTTTTGACCTTTCACTTCCTCCCTTTCAGTCCAAACTGGCCTCAATGTCCAATGACTTCAAGTCAGTGCTGGAGGTGAGAACAGAGGTAAGATCTGAGTGCGTCCCCTGTTCCCCTCCCTCCATGGGGAGAACTAGCATGCCGAGACCTTGCCTGCCCCCATCTAACCCCAGCTCCGATCTCTCCTTGCTCCCCTAGAACCTGAAGCAACAGCGGAGCCGGCGTGAGCACTTCTCCCGCACCCCGATGCCCCTTACTGCCAGCAACCTGGGTGAGTCCAGAGTCCCTTGTCTTGGGAGAATGCTTGGGGGAGGGGGCTGGCGCACCCTGAGGGGGGCATAGGTGTCATCTTCTAGGGAAGGGAGACCAGTAGGTAACTTCCTGTGTGGAGGCAGGGCTGGCCTTCCTCCTCTGGGAGCCTGGAGTCTGGAGGCCTGGAGCTTGGCTGCGGGGCTCCCCAGTCTCTGACAGCCCTGACTGCACTGGCTTCTCTCTGCAGGTGGCTCCGCGATGCTGCAGGATGAACCACGGCGGGCGGGGGACGTGGCCATTGACATGGACAACCGGACGAGCCAGCAGCTGCAGCTGATTGACGAACAGGTGCTGGTGCGGGGAAATGGGGAGGACTGTTCCAGAGACAGGATGGGGGGGGATGAGGGCTGCCCCAGGCACTGACTCCCCTTCGCCTCTATAGGATTCGTATATCCAGAGCCGGGCGGACACCATGCAGAACATTGAATCCACCATTGTGGAGCTGGGCTCCATCTTCCAGCAGCTGGCGCACATGGTGAAAGAGCAAGAGGAGACCATCCAGAGGTACCAACTTCATAGGCATGGCTGGACAGCTTCCTGCTCCCTTCCCTGCAGCCCTAGTGGGGGGCTCATCCCCCATTCCTGAGGCTTGGAACCAGTTCCCCACACAGAACAGTGGCCATCTGTAACTCACCCACGTTGGCCCTGGGGGCAAGCTTAATCTCTGTCACACCCAGAGCCTGGAGCTCATCCTCTGGGGCTAGGCCTGGTGGTGGGGGAGTCCAGAGGCCCCATCAGTCAATTGTTTCCCCTCTCCCCACCACAGGATTGATGCCAACGTGGAGGACGCCCAGCTGAATGTGGAGGCCGCGCATTCCGAGATCCTCAAATACTTCCAGTCAGTTACCTCCAACCGCTGGCTCATGGTCAAGATCTTCCTCATCCTCATCGTCTTTTTCATCATCTTTGTGGTGTTCCTGGCCTGAGCTGTCCCCTTGCACCTGCCCTCCCCCAGGACCTGGAGCCCCCGTCCTCTCTCTGGCGGAGCCACTCGTGGACATCTATGCGCTGGACTCTTAGTTCTCACCCAGGTGGGGCAGCCTGGTGCCAGAGGGGCTCTCCCTCCTCACGCTGTGACCTGTGGACTCTGCTACAGCTCTGGGAACTCCCAGGCTGGACGTCCCAGGACTGAGTGGGGGCAGGCAGGTGCCTTGGTTCCCATGTATGGTAGCGCCAGGACTCTGCAGCAAAGGGTGCTGCCTGTGGGGTGCTGACACCAGTGTTGGAGGAACCTCTAGTGCTGGGACTCTCACCAGAGCCCACCTCACACCTTGTGTGGGGCTACTCCTCCCCCTATCCTGCGCAGGGGCTCACCAGCTATCTACAGCCAGGACTAACTGCCCCCCACCCCCAGCACTCATCACCTAGCGGCTCTTTGGTGTGCATGGGGAAGGGGTTGCCCACGGACGTGCCTTCGCCAGCCCTGTGGGGCATTTGGCTGAGTGACGGGTTAGCCCCGTTCCCCCCACCCTTAGTTTTATTTTGTGTATTTAAGTCTCATCCTTCTCCCATAGTTATGAGGCTGCCCCAAGCACAGACTCCCCACTCTGCACCCCTCCCCGGCCACTTGGGCGCCACTGCAGCTGGGGCTGGCCCTGACAGTTGGATAGGTCTGTCTGTATGGCTGTCAGTGCAGAGGGAGAGGTGGGTGTGTCTCCCCTACACCCCCCTCACGCTGTTGCTCTGTTGCCTAAGTAAGCACCACGCGCTGGACTTCCCCAGAGAAGCTCCTGCTGCCATAGGTGCTCTGAGCCCTGCGCTGATGGCCCCTCTCTGGGGTAGGCAGCACTGGGCTCCTTGCACCTGAGCTGTGATTGTGGCGGGGGCGGCAGAGCTCAGTCCTCTCCACTGTGGTCCCTGCGGTGAGCTGTGTGTGGCTCCTTCCCTTAACATCATAGGAGGTGCTAGGCCATGGTGCCCTCCTCACCATCTCTCTATGGTCTTGCTAAACCCCAACCCCTTATGGGGTGATGCCCCTTCCCCCAGCAGAGTGGGGAGGGGCAGGGGCCTTATTCCTCTCCCTGCTGGCACTCTCACACAATGTCCTGTCCAATGGTTGATGTAAATAACCCTGCCCTGGCCGAGCCCAGGCGCTAAGGGCCTGATCATGGTGGCTGAGATGACCCCCGGTCATGACCCTGCTGTGACCTCAGCCCCCCTTCACCCCCAGGATTCTTCCCCACAATCACCTGGTCTTAACATTCCAATGTGGGTGCTGCCTCCTCTACCTAATGAGAATCCCTTTGCAGTCAGGTGATGGGGGAGAGACAGACCTGTGGGGAAGAGGAGGGGTTTAACCTGCCCCTTCCTGGCTTTTCAGAGTCAGCCTGAAAAGAAATTAAAGCTTGACTGTAACCCCAGCTTGCTGCTGGCCATGTGTCTCCTGCGGGCTGGGCCCTGGGGATGGCATGGGGTGTGGGGGAGGGATGCCACTGTTGTCCTGGGTGGGGAGACCAGGGGGTCATGTCCGCAGGCCCAGCTGCCACCCTGAGGTCTCTGTGCTCTGGTCTCCTCCTACCTGGGAAGCTGCTAGGAGTGACCTGCTGCTTCCTAGGCTGAGCCTGCTCTCCACACCTCTGAGCTGGTAACCAGCTGGCCCGCTTCCTTCATGCATTGAGGACTTGGACAGTGTCCTCTGACTGAGAAAAGTGGGGAGGGGAGAGACTGGGGCCGTACAGACCATTGCAGCTGCACTGAGCTCAGTCTGCCCTGCCCTACCACCTGGGTCAGCTGGGTCTGATCCTCTGGGGTTTGGATGGAAAGAGGGAGAGAGGCCTGTGCTTGGCTGCTACTTCCAGCTGGAACCTGCTGATTGTTCTCTAGGAGAGATGGCAGAGGGAGGGGAACACCAGGTCCTCCCCTGGGCTGAGCTGACAGTGGTGGTGGGAGACTGTATATAAACCAGATGCTGGGATGGGGGCAACAGGGCTGCTGCAAATAGGATAATTAAAAAGTGCTAGTGGGGGTGCTGGGCACCAGCAGAGGGCCAGGCCTAGTGGCAGCAATTCAGTTTCTTCTCAGAGCATCAGGCATCAGAACCAGGAAGGAGCAGACATGAAAGGAGAGACCCCTTGCAGGGGATGGGTGGAAGGTTCACTGAGAAGCTTATTCTGGTTCACTGAGACATTTGTGTCCTGACAAGCCCTGCAATGCAAGGCAAAGTGGGTGCCACAGTTTCAGGCTAACTTCAACTGTATCTCCCCCTGTGGTCCACTCAGGTCTCCAGCTGTCACTGGTCTCTGGGCAGAGACCCTTATCCCACTCCCTCCTCACTGGGGTTTTGAGGCTGTACAGCCTTACACTGTGATATCTCCAGCAAGCAGGTTTGTCCCACAGCCAGTGCCTGAGGACTATGACCAGCGCGTTGCCAGCAATTACAAGTCGCCATGCAGCTCTTTAAGCACATGTATTTTTAAGGTAAAAGCATAACAACATATTTAAAAAAAGAAGATCCTAGACTAGAGGCATGCTAATAGTGCAGATCACCCATCTGTTTTATGGGGCCCCAATTGGCTAAAGTCTTTCCAACTATTCCACAAGGGTTGGGGTCCCCCCTTAGAAAGTCCTGTCTGTTTGCTGGATCAGAGAAATGGCCCTGCGTCAGTTTACCTTTGTAGAGCAAAACCCCTTCCGTTGTTGGTCTCTGGAAAAGCCAGATTGGACCAGATAGTCAAACCTCCCCATGGGAAACAATTCTCTGGAGGGGTTTACAACCTAAGGCTTAAGTAATTCATCTTAATCGCCCTCTGGGGTATTGGTTCTTGGAGGAGCTGTGGTAACCCTCCCCCCATGGAGTGCATTTAGTCGCTGGCCCACAGAGATGCATAAAGCATTAATGTGATGTGGTCACTTAATATGATATGGTCCCAAAAGATACTGCCTGGGGCATGTTTTTGTGGAATGCCTATTCTGGTTGTGGATGATGTTTGTGGGATCTCTTGCAGTCTTAGGGCCCTGGAAAGTGTGTTCATCTCACCAGTTGCTCCTCTCCAGGCTCAGTACCTCCCACTTTCCACCTCTAGTTCATTAGTTGGTGTGTGGTAGTGCGTGGGAACCCTAGTCCAGGGCCCTGTTGTGCTAGCACTGCACAAACAGAGCAGAGACAACCTGCGCCCCAAAGAGGTTGCAAATAGTGCCAATCTCAAGGGGTTTAAAAAAAAAAAAAGAGTTGGCCCCCATAAAAATCACTAGATTTCTATTTTATAAAATGATGTGGGGGGGTTGATTTCTTTTTGGTCTGGTTCATAAAAGGGTTTCCACCTTTTCTCTCCAAAGATGGGGGCTAGAAATGAAAGATGTGGTTCCTACGTGATCTCCTGCCTCCAGGGACTTTAGGAGAAACAGTGCAAAACTCAGGATGAAATGGCAAGTGGGAAAGGGCTGAGGTTGTGCTCACTCATCCTGGGTGCATTTACCTTAGTCTTGCACATGGCACTGGGAGAAGGTAGGCTTCTGCTCTCTCCCCCCCCCACACACACACTTCTACATCCCCTTTGCCCCTGAAGTGGGTTTCGCTGCTGGAATACCAGCCTTCTGATATATGTCATCCCCAGTGCACAGGGTGTCATGTTGTCCTAATGGATAGAAGAGCACAGGCTTGCATGTTGCCTCTATACCCACAAGGAAGGCAGGACCTTTGGCAGAGCTGTGGTCCCTGTGGGTGTCTGTCACACTGTGCAAGGAATGGAAGGAGTTAGAATAGCCCCATGGATGCTGAAGCTTGGGACCTTCACAGTGGTGGTCCCAGGAACTGAGGCCAATGGGGGCAGGAGAGGGCAGCTGCCCAAAGATGAAGCTGCAGCCACAGAATGTAGCCAAGGATCCACTGGTGGGACTTGAACCCAGGATCTTGGGGGGGGGGAAATGGGGAAAAGGCAGATGATCTAGGTAGCTAGTGGTCCCACTGCCCCATTCTCTGCTAGGATGCGACTTAAACACAGATCCAATTGGGGGTCCCGGCTGCCGCAGGTAAGACTCGAACCCTCAACCCAGGGGAAGCTCTGTCCTGAGAGTCCCTCCGTCCAGCCGTGGCACATACTACAGAAAGGAAAGAGAGGGGGCTTTTGTGGGCGTGCGCAGCGTTCTGAGCCGCGTTGAGCGTCGGTTTTTCTGAGCATGCGTAGGGTCGCCACCTCTTCGGGAACAAATAGGGGGAGGCGGAATTCAGCGCACGCGTAACTTCTCCCATCGAAAAGCGTCTGATGCTGCTGAGCTACGCATGCGTAATGCCTTCGGTCGGGCCGCCCACCGCATGCGCACCTTCCGGGAGGCTGTTTACGCATGCGCTCGGTCAGCGGATCGGAGCCGAGCGGTGGGATCGTTGCCTAGTTCCCCCCGCTCGGCCAACTAGCGACATTATCCTTCCCCGCCCCCGCCCAGCAGCGGCGCGCGGAGCCCCCCCTCGATGGCGGAGGAAGGGAAAGGGGGGTACAGCGGTGAGGGGGGGGGCTGGGTGACGCGGGCGGGCGAGAGGGGCTGCGGCTGAGGCCTTTGGGAGCTCTTGGGGGTGGTGTTTGGGGGGGCGGAGCTTTGGGGTCGGGTGGGGAGAGGGTTTGAGGGCGGGGCTTGTGGAGGTCGCTGGGGGTGTGTGGCGCCTTTGGGGTCTGGAGGTGAGAAGGTTGGAGGGCGGGGCTTGTGGAGGGGCCTCTGAGGGGGCGGGGCCTTTGGGGTCTGGAGAGGAGAGGGTTTGAGGGCGGGGCTTTGGGGGTGGGTTCTGGGGGGCCTGTGCCAGTCTCGGGGGTGGGCCTGCGGAGGGGATGCTGGCTGGGGGCTGTCTTCCCTATCTCCCAGCCCAGCGTGGGGGGACGGCAGGGTGATGAGGGGCTCTGGGGGGATGGGTGCAGTGGTGTGGGGGGGTGTGTGTGCTGTGAGCCCTGCGGAATGGACTGGGAAAGGGGTGGAAGCGACAGGGCCTGATGCATTTTCTCATCTCTACTGATGCAGACCCAAGGGCTCAGGAGGGTTAGGGGTTTAGTGTGGGCAGTTTCCCATGTGTCAGGCATTCAAAGAGGGAAGTCGCTGAATGGTGTCTGATACTCCTTCTGCTCCTCTGCACAGAACATGATGACCGTGTGGGCAGTGCAGGTGGGGGCTTCGCTGGGAGGAGGAGGAAAGGTCGGGGTCCGTTCCGAGGCAAGATGTACAGTGAGGGGAACCACCGCTCGTGGAACCGAGGTGTAGCAGGTCCCAGCCCTTCTGGTCAGCTGGAGGAGGGCGACGGAGATGTTCCCATGAGCGACGCCCATGATAGTCTTCGAACCAGATAGTGAGTGAGAGGTGTTGTTGGACATTGTATGTGATGGAATGGCTCAGGGTGGGGGGATGCCTTCTATGGGATGCCTGTTTCAGTCCGGCCCCAAGGTGAGGGAACTGGTTGGCTCAGGGAGGCAGGGAATGGGATCTGGGGCCTTTCCCCTCCAGGGGGCACCAGCTCCACTCCAGCTCTTGATTGGGGAGCAGGGGAAAGCTGCACTGTTCCTGTGCTGGGGATAAATAGGGCATCTGTGTCTGGCGGCTGCTGCAGAGATTTTATTCTAATGCAGCGATGACCACAGGGTTCAATCAGGTATTTCTGGGTCCCTTTAGCTTTCAAGATATCCCCCCTGTCTTTAATGCTAAGCGCTCGTGTCCCTCCGCTTCCCAGCACTCCCTATGGGTCACGGCTGAACAGGCGAGGCGATGACTGGCATAACCGGGGCCGGGGAGGTGCCACCAACATCCATGTCACAGTGAAACGAGACCTCACTCCCCAGGACCGGAGTAGCAGTGCCAGCCGCAACAGCAGCCGGAGGAGGTGGTACAAGGTCACAGTGAGTGCTGGAGGGTGAGGGAGGGAACAGGGAATTTGGCCAAGCCCCTACCCCACAGCCCTGGCACATCCTGGTAACCCAGGGCACATCCCTTGCAGGTCACCTTGCCGTCCTGCCCCTCTGACTCAGTTTCTGAAGGGGGCATAATGTCCAGCCTGGCTGCCAAGTGTCTGACCGGCAGGCAGCTCCCTGGGCAGGGGGGAAGGACCTTGTTGTTCACTGGTTGATGCTCCTGGTTCCTAGGAGCAGGGCTGCTCCCTGAGACCTCCCTAGCTCCCAGACCCATAGTTTGCTGCCGGCTTACTGACATGCTACTTACAAGTGTCTTTTTTTCCTAGATTCCCTATGGAAAGAAGTATGACAAGTCATGGCTTCTGAGCTCCCTCCAGAACTTGTCCAGTGTCCCTTTTACTCCAGTGGAGGTGAGAGCTGCACTGAGATGTCATGCAAGCTGTGAGCAGGGAGACAGAGTCAGGACTCCTGGGATCTATACCTGTTTCTTGGAAAGGGAGGGGAGTCTGGGAGTCAGGACTCCTGGTTTCAATTCCTAA